AAGATGACTCCTATGCAGGCTGCTCTCCCTCCTTCCAGTTGCCATATTCTCTAGTCACTAAGATGGGAAATTATAATGATATATGTACTTAACAGTGAACATGTCCATAAGTGCTTTATGTGTAACATACATTTAATCTAAAAAATTATGTGGTATGTGATGTTCTTATTTCCATTTTACACTTGAAAAAACTGAGGCCAAAGTTAGGTCATTTTCCTAAAGTCATATTGTTAGCAAGTAATAGAGCTAGAATGTGAACCTAGGCAAACTGGGTCTCAGGCTTCTTCTTCTTCTTTTAATCCTCACTTGAGGACATTTTTCCATTTTTAATTCAGGTAGAGTGGGAGGGAGAGAGAGGAACAGAGAGAGAGAGAGAGAGAGAGAGAGAGAGAGAGAGGGAGAGAAACATCGATGTGAAAGGGACACATCGAGTGGCTGCCACCCGCACTACCCACTAGGGCCGGAGACAAACTGCAACCGAGGTACATGCCCTTAGCGGGAACCAAACCCGGGTCTCTCAGGACCGCAGGCCGACGCTCTAACCGCTGAGCCAAACCGGCCAGGGCTCAGGTTTCTTCTTTTTCTAACAAGCACTCTCCAGCACCTCGATGGCTGGTGTCCCCCTGCCATGGGAGAGATCTTTCTCTATGATCCCTCAAATCATTCAAGATAAATTCCAACTCCTCAACTTATCAAACAAGAGTCTTCATGACCTCAGCAACTTCTTTTTTAGTCTCATTTCTTGACACATCCCTTTATGAATTCTGTGCTGTGTCATATCAAATTTATTAGTATTCCCTAGAGAGGGTGCCATAATAATTTGTATCCTTTATCTTCATATATCATATTCTCTAGTCCTGGAATGTTCTTCCTGCCCTGACCACTCTTCTTTGCCCACATCCTACAGCCTTCTTCAAGTTAACTAACTCATCTTTCAAAATGCCACTTAATGATGACCTTCTCTGAACAGGTGTCCCTGACTCTTATGGGCTTTTTTGTTTTACTTTTATCTCAGAGAACTGTGATTGTGTTTACATGTGAACCTCCTCTATTTGATTGTCAACACATGTCAAATGAAATAATGTCTAGATTAACCATTAATATCATATCACTTGTTATTGCATTCTTTTTTTAAATTAATTAATTAATTTTTGTTACAGATGCTTCTCCTTTTCCCCCCACTGATTCCCCCTCCTTCTCCCTCCCCACCCTGTCCCCAGCTTTGTTGTCCATGTCCATTGTTCATGCACACATGTGTATAAGTTCTGTGGTTTATCTCTCTCCCACAATCCCCTCTTCTGGATTGTCAGTCTGTACCCCACATTCTTATGGTAAGTTTAATTTGAGAAAACTTGAGCACAAATGATGTGATGATCTTTCTAGTTGCAACTGTAGTCTTTGTCTCTAAATACTGGATGTAGTTAAAAAAATAACCCAAACTCGTCCGGTCGATGTGGCTCAGTGGTTGAACGTTGACCCATGCACCAAGAGGTCACCAGTTCAATTCCTGATCAGGACACATGCCCATGCTGTGGGCCCAATCCCCAATGGGGGGCATGCAGGAGGCGGCCAATTGATGTTCTCTCTCATCGATGTTTCTATCTCTCCCTCTCACTTCCTCTCTCTCTAAAATCAATAATAAAAAAAAATAACCCAAACTCTTCATGATTAACCAAAGATATGATGACTTTGATGCCATCAGATTCAGAAGTATGCATATTCATTAAGAAAATAAATATTGAAGTCCCATTGCTTAAGTTCAAATACCAACTCTACAGTTACCAGCTCTATGACCTTGGGCAAATTATTCTCTCTGTGCTTTAGATTGATTCTTCATCTCAAAATGATCACAGGCTACCTTGCAAGATTGTTATGAGAATTAAATAAGTTATCACCACTCAGAACAATACCTGGCCCACAGTAAGTACAATATAAGTGTTTTATATTATTAAATATTTTTACAACCCTTATGATTTTACCAGTTGGTGATAACTGAACATATGTTGGCTTTACTGTTATAATGTTGTAGAATATTCAGTAATGTAAGGACATGGAGCATATCTTTCAATCAAAGGACTTCACACCATAAGAAAGCACTGATTTTTTAAAATGTAATTTTTTTTCGTGAGTTTCTCTATCACATATATATCTATCCATATGTCTGTTTACCTACCTATCATCTATTATATATCTATTTATCAGTCTATCTATTTTTCTTTTATTTAAGGGGGTGTATATTTTATGGGTTCTGGAATCAGAATACAGCAATTCAAATACCAGACCCTTCACTGTCTATGCTACATTTGTTAATTTTCCAAACCTCTTCAAACTTTGGTGCTCTGTAAAAGAGATAAGAATTACAATGCTGCTGTGAGACTAGATGAGGTAAAATGTTAATAATTTAACATACAACCCACATATAGTAAAGTGCATAATAAATATTAACTATTAAATAGTATCTCTGCAGTGAAAATAAACAGATACATAGTTCATTATCTCGGTAATAAAATTATGTATAAATTTTATCCTCACCTGAGGACATTTTTTTTTTCATTTATCTTCAGATAGAGCTGGAGGGAGAGAGGCAGGAAGAGAGAGAGAGGAAAACATTGACATGAGAGAGACACATCGAGTGGTTGCCACCCACATGACCCCAACCAGTGCCTGGGACAAACTGCAACCGAGGTACATGCCTTTAGCAGGAACCGAATCCGGGTCTCTCTGGTCCATGGGCCGACGCTCTAACTATTGAACCAAACTGGCCAGGGCAAATTATGTATAAATTTTAATATTTTATGTATGTGGGCTATAAAACTTTTATATAATAGCTTACTAGATCAAATTATAAATTCTACTTACTAGAAAGATCCCACTTTATAGATTCAAATTATAAAGCAAAATACTTAATAAATACAAGATGTTATCCTGATTATCTCATTTTATTTTTGTAACAGCTTTGTGAGGTAAATAACCTTATCATCCACTCTATAGATGAGAAAAATGAGATTCCAAAAAAATAAATAGATTTAGCCACATGTACCAGTTGGTGAGGATGCTCCAACTTAATTCACTCAGCATCTGGGCAGTGCTGTTTTCACTATCCATGCAGAAACAAGATGTTTCTAGTAAAGATGAAGAATAGGTAGCAATTTTCATGACTCAGAAAAGTTATTTTTATTTTGAGGAACTTTTTTAGATCTTGTCTCATAATCTGATTGTTTTTATGCAATAGTTTTCTCTGTATGCCTTAGGCATTCTTACATATAGTTTATAAAACAGTATCAGACACTTATTTTGTACATACCAATTATAACATCATCTGTGTAAAATTTTTATTTCTAATTCTTACCTATAATTGCAAAGATGAAGAATTATCTGTTTGTTTTTTTTTCAAGGCCAAGGGATTGAGGATGATAGGGACTTCAATAATTTTTAAACTTTTTAACTTTATTTAAAATTTTAATTAATTAATTTATTTTGTTACAGATGTTTCCTCTTTTTCACCCAGTGATTCCCCATCCCCATCCCCACCTTTGTTGTCCATGTCCACTGTTCATACATACATGCATATAAGTTCTGTGGTTTATCCCTCCCCCCCACCGCTTCTTCAGGGGATTGTCAGTCTGTACCCCACTTCCACGTCTCTGGGACTACCCCATTCCTCAGACTGTTATGTTAGTTATATTCCACAAATAAGGGAGATCATATGATATTTGTCTTTCTCTGCTTGGCTTGTTTCGCTTAGGATAATACTTTCCAGGTCCCTCCATATCATCTCAAAGGATAAGAGATCTTTCTTTCTTACAGCTGCCTAGTACTCCATTGTGTATATGTACCACTGCTTTTTTATCCATTCATCTACTGATGGACACTTGGGCTGTTTCCAGATCTTACCTATTGTAAATAGTGCTGCTACAAACATGGGGGTACATATATTCTTTCTGATTGGTGTTTCAAGCTTCTTAGGGTATATTCCTAGAAGAGGAATCACTGGGTCAAATGGCAGTTCCATTTTGAATTTTTTGAGGTAACACCATATTGTTTTCCATAGTGACTGCACCAGTCTGCTTTCCCACCAGCAGTGGACTAGAGTCCCCTTTTCTCCACACCCTCGCTAACACTTGTTGTTTGATGATTTGTACATGCTCTTGAGGTACTTACATACCCTTGACTGGATTCAAACCCATTACTCCTTGGTCCATGAGGCTGATGCTCTAATCGTTGAGCCAAGCCAGCCAGGGAAACTCCTCATGTATTTCTTACTAGCAAGCAAACTTGGCTTTTTACATGTAGGTCAAGGCTTAGGGCTCAAGCTGCTCCAATGTTGATTAATAAACATAGGTTGTTGATAAGCTGGAGGCCATTGTGTATGTTGTTCTCAGTCACTAAAAATGACTAAATTTTTAATTGTATTGAAATTTTCAACCTAATTTAGAAACTGGAGGTAGAGTATTTCTCACTTGATTAAGCAGAATATTTTTCTCTTAAAGTTGACCTGTATATATTATATCAAAAAGATTTAGCTACAAATTTTATACATCAGATCTAAGATTGTGACTTCTTGCTTTTATCTACAGCTTCAAAAATTAATTTACCCATTTAACATTTAAAGTTTTTCACCTCAAAGATAATTTCTGATATGAGAGAAAGGGAGGGAAGGAAGGTGAGATGATTTTAAAAAAAACAACAGTGGTTAGATCTAATAGGAAAAAAAATCATATTCTGTAGATTCTTGTTTGGGAGGAAAGAACTTTAAATCTGAATGTAACAGAAAATCAAATATAAGTCAATAATGTTGTAAGAAAACGAATGAGAAAAATATCTATTAACTATATCCAAAAAATAGGACAAATTTTTACTACTATATTTAGCATCACTTAAATATTTTTACAAGACTGTTCCTGTTATGCTTTACCACACTTACAATGGTTATAAACATTTATTTTGATTTATTTTTTGTAGAGAACCAGAGCCACTCCACCAGTCCTATCTGGGTCCCCATGGAAGTAGCCAACAATGTCACTGAGTTTATATTTCTAGGACTTTCCCAAGACCCTGGAATGCAGCTGATGTTCTTTGCCTTATTCCTCCTCATCTACATCATGATTATGGTGGGAAATCTACTCATTTTGCTTACTGTCTTCTCTGTTTCTTGGCTCCACACACCCATGTATTTCTTCCTCAGTAACCTGTCTTTTGTGGACATTGCCTATTCCTCTGCCACAGCACCCAAGATGATTGCAGACTTTGTTTCTGAAAAAAAGACTATTTCCTACTGGGGCTGTGCAACTCAGATGTTTACCTTTCACTTTTTTGGTTGTGCTGAGATTTTTGTTTTGACCGTCATGGCTTTTGACCGTTATGCTGCTATCTGCCAACCTCTCCATTACACTACTATCATGAGTGCCAATGCTTGTCTTGTCTTGGCATCACTGTCTTGGTTAGGGGCCCTGGGTCATTCCATTGTTCAGACCCTCCTAACCTTTCAGCTGCCCTTCTGCAATGCTCAGGTCATTGACCACTACTTTTGTGATGTCCACCCACTCCTGAAACTTGCCTGTGCTGACACAACCCTGGTAAATATGTTGGTGGTTGCCAACAGTGGTCTCATTTCCCTGGGGTGTTTCCTCATTCTTCTGGCCTCTTACACAGTCATTCTAGTTAGTCTTCGGAAGCAGTGTGCAGAGAGCCGGCGCAAGGCTCTCTCTACCTGTGGGGCTCATTTTACTGTAGTAACTTTCTTCTTTGTCCCTTGTATCTTCATTTATCTCCGTACATCCACTACTTTCCCACTGGATAAGGTTGTGTCTGTGTTTTATACCACCATCACCCCGATGCTAAACCCACTCATCTATACTCTGAGGAATGAGGATGTAAAGAACGCCATGAAACGACTGTGGAGTCACAAGGTCTCCTCCAGGGAAAAGCAGCATGGATAGATAGTCAGAACCGCAAAATCAGACAACTGCCTGGTACCTTCAATCGCCCCTCGCTGGTGAATAATTTTAAGAAATAATCTCTAAAATTCAATGATCTCATACTTTAATTTAACAGGGAATACTTTGAGGTTATTCCACTCCTTTGCCCTTGGGTGAGCTAAACGGAAATCTTTGCATACTGGTAGGGTTTATCCTCTCTTATTTCTAGAGCAGGAGAATAAACACTCCTACTCAGTCTCTCATTAGTCCCTTCAGTTCGAATCAAGCTCTCTTAAGCTATCATTTAATGATTTAGAATGGGTTTACAAGAGAAATATATCTCTGAGGAATCAGATCATTTCTCCTAAAAACAGAAGTCCAATTTGTCTCTCCCGCCCCCTCTCTCCTCTCTCTCTCTCCTACTCTTTCCTCACAAATGCTGCATAATCTTGAAGGGGAAACAAATTCATAAAGAGATAATTATAATATAATAAAACAAATGCAGAAAATGCAGACATAGAAATACACACTGCATACAAAGAAGAAATGAATATAACTGACAAAACTGCACAATGAATGGTTTCTGTATGGGGTGGAAGATGGAGAAAGAAACATGTTACATATTTTGGTCTTGAGCAATTTTGTTTGGAAAGATCCTATAAGAGAATTCAAATACTCTCTGTCATCCCAGTATCACATTATTTTTACTAAAAGTAGTCTTACTTTTATTTTTTTCAATACATGGAATAGACTAATTAGAGCAACTAAAAACAATTGACATCTGAACTACTGAAATGACTGTCAGGGATATAGATTTTTTATTATAACTTTTTAGTTAAAATTGTTTTTTTAAAAAAATATTTACAAATCATTTTTATTAGAATAGATTAATTACATACAACATAAAAATTAAAGGACAAAATGGATTAAACTCAATTGTTTTTCTTGTTGTTCTTTTTTTTTTATCCTCACCCGAGGACATTTTTCCATTTTTTGTTCAGGTAGAGTGGGAGGGAGAGAGAGGAACAGACAGAGAGAGAAACATCGATGTGAAAGGAACACATTGAGTGGCTGCCACCCGCACGACCAACCAGGGCCGGGGACAAACTGCAACCGAGGTACGTGCCCTTAGCGGGAACCGAACCCGGGTCTCTCCAGACCCCAGGCCGACGCTCTAACCGCTGAGCCAAACTGGCCAGGGCTTTCTTGTGTTCTTAGTGAAGTTGGAAAGCAGCTGGAGATTCTCAGATCTTCAGGAAAGAGATTTTTGTCCTAAGGAAATTTTTAGGTATTATGTCATGACATATCTTTCAAGAATTTTGCCCTGATTATTTTCATCTAATGTATATTTTCTGTATGCCTCAAGCATTCCTGTATGTATTTTATAAAATGGTATCACACACTTATTTTTTGTTTTGTTTTTTAAATAGATTTTTTTTTTTTTTATCCTCACCCGAGGACATTTTCCCATTTTTTTGTTCAGGTAGAGTGGGAGGGAGAGAGAGGAACAGAGAGAGAGAGAGAAACATCGATGTGAAAGGAACACATCGAGTGGCTGCCACCTGCACGACCGACCAGGGCCGGGGACAAACTGCAACCGAGGTACATGCCCTTAGCGGGAACCGAACCCGGGTCTCTCTGGACTGCAGGCCGATGCTCTAACCGCTGAGCCAAACCGGCCAGGGCTGTTTTTTAAATAGATTTTTATCTCATGTTTATATATTGAGAATATAAATAATGTATCTTCTTTTTTATTCCCCATATATGGCACAGAGCTGGGTGCATAGTATAAATACTTGTGACGGAGTCTGCTGGTTGTTACAATACCCATTGTTCCTTTTTTTCCTTAGTAACAGAGACTTGACATTTTTTATGGTGACCCCACTAAAACATTGCATTTACTAGTCACTCCATTGCAGCTATGGGTTGGACAATATGATATTAATAGTAGCTGGTGAGTGAGACTTTTGAAAACTCTTTAAAATGAATGATCTGCACCTTCAACCCTTCCACACATGATCACTGTTTTGTTGCATTTCCCTATAGTTACTTTTCATATTGCCTTTCCTCTACAAAAAAAGAGAACATTTTGTCCTCTTTGTAAACGCCTAATTAAAAAAAATAAATGCACTGTAATTATATTTAAAATGAGAGGCTACATTAGTTTTCCTTTTTTAAATTAAACTTATTGGGATGAAATTTATTAATAAAATTATAGGTTTCAAGCATACAATTCTAAGATACATTATCTGTATATTGCATTTTATTTTATTTTATTTTATTTTATTTTTTTGTGGTATGTGCCCCTGGCAGGAACCAAACCTGGGACTCTCTGGTTCACAGGCCAAAGCTCAACTGCTGAGCCAAACTGGCCAGGGTTATGCCCACCACCCAAAGTCAGATCTCCTTCTGTCACCATATATTTAACCCCTTTTCCCCTTTACTAGTCCCCAATACCTTAGTTGTTTTTATTCTTAAGTGCTAAATAAAATAATAATGATAATAGTAATAATGATAACAACAACAAAAGGGGGAAAATTTGGACTCAGAAGAACAAAGGAAACAAACAGAGGTTAGATGCAGACAAAAGATTCCAACAAATGTTTGGAAAAGAGAAGACAAAAGCATGGTTACTGATTTGGTAGAGTAGGGAAGGCTAACTCTAAAGTATCAACCCAGCGGAATACTCAGGAGAAAGAGATTTCTCTCCCAGAATCTCTGACATGTTTGGGATGCCAGGACACCAGGTAAGGGAGATGATGGGGTTCATGCTAGTAACAGACAGATCAAGAAAAATGAGTGGCTCAAGTTCCCATTCTCTCTTTTCACCCCTCACTCCCAGGTGCTCTCACAGGCATATTCTTCACAGACAGTGTTGACATTTTTGCATTTTGAAATTAAATGCTGCCCTGGCCAATTTGGCTCAGCGGTTAGAGCATCGGCCCGCGGACCAGAGAGGCCTGGGTTCGGTTCCCACAAAGTGCACATACCTAGGTTGCAGTTTGTCCCCGGCCCACTCACTGGCAACCACTCAATGTGTCTCTCTCACATCAATGTTTCTCTCTCTCTCTCTTCCTCCCTCTCTCCCTCTCACTCTATCTGAAGATAAATGCAAAAATGTCGTCGGGTGAGGATATAAACAAAACAAAAACAACAACAACAAAAAGAAATGAAATGCTATTAGAGAAAAGTCTTTCACAATCTACCTTTGGAGATCACAAATGAGATGGCTGCCTCTTTCTGGGACCCTCATCAGAAGGTTTCAGAGAACATTGGGAAGGACAACAAGTTGATTACTCAGATTCTCTGACCGAGGGCAACTGCCATGAATTCTTTAATTGGTATCTGTTTCATGAAGCAGTTCTAGGGCATCTAGTTAGATGTTTATTTTTAAAATAATTCAGCATTGTTTTCTTATTAATTAGTGTTTATTCTCACTAGAACTTGGAACACATTATTTATTAATCTTAATAACACTTTTATTTTTTTTTATTATCACAATTATAATTTTTGGCTCTAATATGCTCCAGACTCTGTCCTAGGCATGTAACATATGTTTCCTCAATTTTGTTTCATAAGAACTCAATATGCTTTTAACATCCCTAGTTTCCAAATAAGAAAAACTATGTTCCAACTATGTTCAAGGAAATGGAATTAGGAAGCCTTCTAAATAAAAAAGCAATTGGAAAGAACAGATTTTTCTACTATTTTTGTGATAATCTGGTATATTTATAGATAACTAGACACTTTTATTGTTTGTGTATCTTTATGTGCCTTTAATAAAATATGGAACCTGAATTGAAGTTTTTCAAAACATTTAAAACTGAATATAAGTTAAACTTTTTGAAAATATTTTTGTTTAACCAAACTCTATAAAAACACATGTTTGTTCAAATTTTCCCTGCTAAGCCATGCAAAACAAATTACATTTAAGCCCTCTCTAGGTCTTTTCGTCTCCAACTTAAACACAAGGTATCAACAGTTTATGGGAGAATACCTAATAGACTTCAGTGGATCACTGAGAATGCAATTTTTAAAAATTACAAGGTAATTCTCATCCTCACTTCATAAACATCAAGTATGGTCATTGAGAGTAAAATTTGAAGATAATTTTAGGAGGGAATATTTCTGAAAGTTTTGAGATGGAGATTAGACTGGTAGAAAATTGAGATAGAACCCAATGTTATTTATCATAGAATATTTCTAGATGAGAGATACAGAGAAGTATTTGCAGATTCACAGGTGGGAGGGTCAATTATAGGTTGATTTAGGGAAATAAGGACTATTTTTCTCTTGTTCATTGTATACCTGTGCTTAGTAGTGTCTGATATGTAGCAGATAATGATTAAGCACATGTAAAAGATATTGAATAAAAGAAAGGAGTTATTACTTAAGGTCTTTATTAAAAACTGTAAACTATTCATGCAATTTATGTAATATTAATATTAGATTTGTAGAGATTTCTATTTTCCTAAGGATCTAACATCTCTAAGCAATACAGTCCTTCGAGACAGGAGAATTGGAAGTGCACATCATCCTGCAGAGGGCATAGTACACATCCAAATATTTTCCTCTCCTAATCCGAGGAAGTTAGCCATTTTCTTCACTTGTCCTGGGTTATTTGAATGTTGTGTTTCTATGCTTCTTGGATGAAGCACATATCAACTTTTAAATTATTCCCTCAGGGTTTTGATTCCTAGCTGGCTGGACCTAGCCTCCTGAGAAATGATTTTCTTAGTCATAATCCATGGTGCTTGTTAGCTCATTGTTTCATCAGGGAAGAAACTGATATATACCAAAATATAAAAGACAAAGCTTTCTGTGTGGATGAAGAAAAGGCACCTTCTACCACGTCTATTTTCCCTGACTACACCAAGACTGACACCAGTAATTGGTAGGTTGAAGAATGGTGTAATAATATTTACATCAACCACTCTATTTTTGAGACAATAGGATGAATATAATGATAGGAATAACTATGTAAAATACTCAGCGAATAGTGGTAAGAAGCTGAAAGCCTT